AACTTTTGTTTTGTTTCTTGAGATGGAATCTCACTCTGTCACCCAGGCTGGAGTGCAATGTTGAGATCGTAGCTTACTGGAGTCTCAACCTCCCAGGCTCAAGTGATCCTCCTGCCTCAGCCTCAGGAGTAAGCTGGGACTACAGCTGCGCCACCATGCTCGGCTATTTTTTTTTTTTTTTTAATTTTTTTGTAGAGATGTGGTCTCACTCTGTTGCCCAGGCTAGTGTTGAACTCCTGGGCTCAAGTAACCCTCCTGCCTCAGCCTCCTAAAGTGTTGGGGTTACAGGCATGAGCCACTGTGCCTGGCCCCTATCAACTTTTGAACACCCGCCCCCCACCCCCGGCCCCAGCCACCTCCCAGCATCATGAGCCTGCTTGCTCCTAAGGAAGAAGTCAAAACTTGTTCTCTGGGCCACTCTTATAGCTGAGGTTTGGGCATACGATCCAGACACCCTGATCACATACAACTCTGTAAGACTCTGATTTGGAATCTACGGACGTGAAGCAGCAGGCCTGGGCTGCAGACATTCTGGTGAGGGTGGATGCAGCAGTGACAGCCAGCATTTCAGAGACAAAGAGAGGTGAGGTCCTTCAAGGAGGTCCCTGAGACCAGAGTTTGAGAGAGAAGCTACAGTACTGTGTGGAAGAATAATGAGCTCCCAAAGATGTCAATGTCTCAATTGTTGGAACCTGAATATGAATGCATTAACTCACATGGCAGAGAGGATTTTGCAGATGGAATCAAGTTAAGGATCTTGAGATGGAGAGATGGTCTTAGATTATCTGGGTGAGCTCAATGTAATCACAAGGGTTCTTATAAGGGATGAGGTGGGAGGTTCAGAATCAGAGAAGGTGATGTGAGGATGGAAGCAGAGGGAGAGGAAGAGACACGGTAATGAAAGCAGAAGTAAGAGAGAAAGATTTGAAGCCACACTGCTGGCTGTGAAGATGGAGGAGGGGCCATGAGCCAAGGATGCAGGTGGCCTCCAGAAGTTGGAAAAGGCAAGGAAAATCACACTCCCCTAGAACCTCTAGAAAGGAAAGCAACCCTGCCACACCTTGATTTTAGCCCAGCAAGGCCCATTTTGAACTTCTGCCCTCCAGAACTGTAAGAGAATATATGGTATTGTTTTAATCTACGTGTGTGTTAATTTGTTATAACTGCAGAAAGAAATGCATACCTGGGCACCAGTTCCAAAGCCCAGTGAAGGCAGCGGCAGGGTCTCCATCAAGAGCAGTTCCATGTAATTCTGGCCCTTCTTTTAACCCCGACACTTCCAAAACGGATTCTCTGGCTCTCCCAAAGATTCCATACATTCCCTCAGATCACTTAGCAAGTTCATTTTCTTCTAAAACTGACTTGAATACATAGGTTCTGTGGCTTATAACAAAGAGCTCGGGTAATTCGTGCCCCAGGGCTCCTCTGTCCTTTCCATTTTATTTCTGAATTGTCTCTCAAATCCATCTTTGCTGCTCTATCACCCCTTCCTTGTTTCAGGTCCTTGCTATTTCTTGCCTAGACTATTTTCATGCCCTCTTAATTATTTTTCCTGTCTCTTGTGTCTTCTTGTTCTAGCCCTTCCTTCACATTCCTGCCATATCATTATATTTCAAAACTTAGCCGGAGTGCTTCATTGCCCTATTGGAAACATGTTGATGGTGTCCCATTGCCAACAGGATGAAGATCAAAGTCTCTACATGGCATGGAAAGACCCTAACTACCTTGCATGAACCTGCTTAGACAATCATCAAGAGCAAAGGATTTGATGCTAGTGACATCTGATGAGCTCTAGGGCCATGGGTAAATCCCTGAATCACAGGGAGCACCATCTGTAAATCAGTGACAATGATACCTTTTTTTCATTTGTAAAGTGATGATTTAAAAAAATATCCTACCTGTAATCCCAGCACTTTGGGAGGCCGAGACGGGCGGATCACGAGGTTAGGAGATCAAGACCATCCTGGCTAACATGGTGAAACCCAGTCTCTACTAAAAATACAACAACAAAAAAAAATTAGCCGGGCGTGGTGGCGGGCACCTATAGTCCCAGCTACACGGGAGGCTGAGGCAGGAGAATGGCGTGAACCCAGAGGACGGAGCTTTCAGTGAGCAGAGATTGCGCCACTGCACTCCTGCCTGGGCAACAGAGCGAGACTCCGTCTCAAAAAAAAAAAAAATATATATATATATATATATATATCCTACCTCATAGTATCTTCATGAAAATGAAACAAGATAATGAATGAAAAACACACTTGTCTGTCCAGTGCTTGGTATATAGTAGGCATTTAATTATATGTGTGTGAGTGTGCGTATGTTCTATGAATTACCACTCCCCATCTTGCATCACCAAGTACATCTCATATCATCCCTGCATTTTTACGCCAATATTTCTTTAACCTCAAAGCCCTTTCCTTCTTCTCTTTGGCTTGGCAAACTAGTATAGGTTTGAGCTCAAATATCATCTTTTCATGGAGATTTTTCTGACTCCGTCAGTCAAGGGGGTCAGTGCTTCTTCTGGGTGCCTCTCTGGTGGCAAACATCTGACTCTACTGCAATGACTTGCTTACATAGCCACCCCCTTCATTGAGGGTCTTTTTCATTTTGAAATCTGCAAGGTCTCGCATGGTGCTTACAAGCCAGGAGAACCTAAATAAATGTCAGACAAATGAATGAAGTAATGGGGAAAAAGGAAGGGTGGAACTGCCACCCACTTGTTCTGGTAAGTGAGGCTTGGTTGAAAGTACCAAAGTTCAAACCTGAAGCTTCACATGATTGGAGAGCAAATCTATGTAAGTGTTCTAAGTAGGCTTTTAAGAAAATTACTTTAAGAAATGTGGAGATTATGTGGTGGGTGAATAAGAGTAATTGTTTTACAAAGGATTTCTAGACACAAAAAGATCATTTTCCAAAAATATTTTCTTTAAAGAGGAAGTTGACCAGTTGCTATAAGCAATTAGTTATTTAATTAAGAGTTTCAGTTCTATCTAAAATTAAGACAAAGCACCTCATTCAGAATGAGCGTCACCAGGGAAAAATCATTGAGTCTGCATGCAGCTGTTTACCTTTTAGTACACAGTGAAGCACACCTGAGCGATATTTGTTTTTCTTTTCACAAAGGTCAACAAAAAAGTTTCAAATCATCTAATGTATCTAAATTTTTAATATCAAATCACAACTTTGTAACTAAAATCTCCAAAAAAGGGTTATCCTGTGAGTTACCTTGACTTTCAAAGCAAATTCACAAAAGTAAAGAGAGCCTTCCTATTGCTCCTTCAGGATCTTATGAACTTGGCTATACAAATGTCATTCACAATCCATTTGACCTCTCATATCTACCTCCCTAGAAACATTTTTCACAGGTGGAAATTGCAACTAGAGCCAGTGGTCAGCTCTCCCACTCACCCTGCCAACATTAGCAGCAGAGCCACATCCAAAAGTCTAGAGGCAATGTGAAACTTGGCTGGAGTCACTACAGCCACGGAACCTGGTTAAGAACAAGAAGCAAAAGGTTACGACCTCAGTTGCATCTAAAGTAAAGACATTCCTGCTTTAGATTATAAACTGGTTTGGATGGAAACCAGCTGATGTGTGGACACTCTGATGGTTTCAATAGGCTTTTCAGCCCTTGTAATTATCTCTCTGCTAAAGTAAATGTTAGTGTAACCATTGACATTTGATAAGTCACTCTGTGCTATCCAAGGCAGAAGATAGATAAACTTTAGTCATTGTTTGGGGTAATCAGTATGCATTTCTTATCATAGAACACTATGCTTTTTTTTTTTTTGACTTTACGTATAGAATATATTCACATAAATGTGCACTTAAGTTGACATAATTGCACATGTATGCAAGGTTTTCTGCTTTTTAGTACATGCGTAGTTTTGAAACATGACACTTCTAGAGATCAAATGGTGACTTTCTTTTGCAAGTTTGAAGATCGGGCAGTGGTAATGGAGAGGCAGGAATGAGAACCTACTGAGAAAACACAGCAAATTAAAGATGAAGTGGTTCTGCTGGGACCACAGGCTTCTGGGAGTGTGTTTTTGCTAAGACAGATTACATATTGTCCTTTTCCAGCATCATGCATGGCATCCCTTCTCAGATTAGTGAGAATAATCTTTCTCAAAAGATAAGAAACATGCCATTTCTCAATAAGGAGACAACCTGTCAAAATTATGCATAAATAAAACCATAACTCAAGGGCCTTAGTCATTTATAGCCATTAATTTCTTCCATCTTCTTTGAAATAGCCCCAACGGAAGAAGCAAGTGTCAAGCAGTTCACACACAGAGACATGGCATACCAGGGACTCCTGCCAGCTCTACAGGATCCAAAATAGTTTTTTGGCATCTGAGCACGGAATGGGTTCCAGGCTTGAGACAACTGTGCACATCAGAGGAATGGGTTCCCTCCCTCCAGCTGGGGCCCCAGCGAATCCTGCAGTCTTCCTGAGCAGGCGGTTCTGCTTTGAGGGCAGCCAATGCTTGATAAAAGCCAGCTGGGAGCAGCTCAGACCAAGCCCATGCCCATACACTGCTATAAAATGTTTTAGAGACCCCATTACATCTTATTTACTCTCCTTAGCAAGAGAAAGTATCAATGTCCTCCCCACTCCTTCCAAAATAGGCAATATTGACCTCCCTTTGGGGGTTCTTCAAAGACCCATTAATGAGAGTTCCTTCCCTGGGCATTACCAACTTGCACGTGAGTTGATGGAGATCAGTTTATTTCACATTCAACAAATATTTCCTGAACATTCACTATGTTCAGGCACTGTGCTCTGTCTAAGGGAAAAGTTCATGGAGGAGTAATAATCATCATGAAAAAAATAACAGCTCAGGGAGGAGTAATAAAAATAATAAGAATAATAAGAGCTCCAACATACTGTGCTTCCTACTATGTGTCAGGCCCCATGGTATACATGGTACAAGGTCGTCTTGCTTGATCCTTAAAAACAATACTGTAAGATGGATATTGTCATTCCTATTTTACAGGTAAGGAAGCTGGGACTCAGAGAAATTAAGGGACTTGGTGAAGCAGAGAATGTCAAGGGAATTGATTCAGTAGTGGACAGGGAGTCCTTGAAGATTGTTAAGCAGTGAAGAGACCTGATCAAATACTAAAAAAGTACATTCAACGGTAAGAAGATCAACTAAGAGGTAGGAAAATTAGCCAGGAGATCAGGTAACATTCAATGAAAAATGTGATGAAAGTTGACATGCAAATCTAAACAATATGCATATCTGCATATATGTTTTAAGAACACAGACAACTGCAATAAAAACTATAAAGAAAAGCAAGGGAATTGTAAATGCAAAAATTCAGACCAGTAGTCAGTTCTGGAAGGATGGGCAGGTGCAGATGATGTAATTAGGGATGGAATATCAGAGGGCTTCCACGGTATTTAAGTGCTCTATTCCTGAGTTGCATTGTAGGAACCTGGGTGGCCACTGTATTTTTAGAAACCTAGATACCTGAGTTTCACAAACTCTCTCAGATCATAATGCCCTTAGCGTCTCCACAAATTTTTCAGTGTCCTGAGACAAAACTAAATACCTGGGTAGGTTAAGTCCCCAGATCTTAAAAGTCATAGATCGTGTATTGTCCCTTGCAAATTAATATACGCTGTGAAGCTCTGTGGTTTCACTGTGGTGTCCTGGGTGCCTCAGCACAGAGACTGGGAACCATGACAGTGTAACATTTATGTTCATGTATGAAATGTTTCATGATATATTTATGTGTGTTAAATATATAATTTATTAAATATATTATATGACACAGTTATATATATTTATGTAATAAATTATATTTAAATATATAAATATGTTATATAATATTATAAATAAAAGATAGAAATATATGAATATATAAAATTTAATAAATTATTATACATTATATAACATATATTATATTTAAATATAATAAATGTATTTATACATTATATAGAAAACATATTTGAACATAATAAGGGCTTGTTCAATGGTGAGGCCAGTGGAAACAGGAGGGGGTCTGTCTTCTTGGATTTCCTTGGCTCGGTGACTGACTGGAGGTGGGGATGGGGGAGTCAAAGACCGCATAAAATGTTCAGGCAGAACACGAGAAAAAGTGCGAAGTCAGTGGTGGTAGGATCTGTTGAGGGATTATGGGAAGGAATAAGTGTCGTTTGGGGTGCAGAGGTTTGTGGCAGCAGAAGGTATTGCATTTCCAGCTGGTTGAATATTTGGGACCAGCTTGTTGTCCCCAAGGCTTGGAGCAGGGGACGGATCCAGAGAGTGCTACACAGAGATGGGACAGGAGGGGAGAGACGACAGAAAGGCCAAGTGCAGGGATTACGTGGTGAGGGCTGAGGGCAGAGAGTAGGAGACCCCTATGTATTTGCACAGGAGAAGAGAGAGAGGAGCCAGGAAGTAAGCCATGGAGGAGATTTTGGAGAGAATACGGGGCAGAGAGCAATAGAGCACAACCTCACAGAAATTGAGGGAGACATTTCCAGAAAGAGGGTGGGGTTGGGGAGGTTGTTAATGGAGACCAATGCTGGGACAGTCACAGACAAGAAAGGTGGATCAAAGCCACTGGAATGGACAATCATGATACCATGAAAAACAGATGGTGGGTTACTCTTGCTCTTTGAATACGTTTGAAGGTCAAGAGAGGGGGTCAAAGAGGTCGAAGGACTTTTTCTTGTTGCCTTGTGAGCAATGGAGCACCTGTGCGCACTTCTAAGTAGAGAGAACAAAGCCAAGGGAGAGGGAAGCTTTAAAACAAAAAAGCAGAAGGGATGATGATTGGAGCGAAGTTACAGTTTCTTGTTACAGGACAAGAAAGATGAGTGTGTCATCCTCAGAGACAAGAGGGAAAAATGAATGAGTGAAGCTTCAAAAGAAGAGACATGGAGAAAGGTCATGTCCATGGCTTGGTGTCTCAGGAGAGTGAGAGGACAACCTGAGGGAATGAGGCTTGGTTGGGGACTTGAGGAGAATGGGAAAGACTTAGGGAGCCAATCTGCGAGATGCCTGAAAATTCATGAATCTTGTCCAAAGGATTGTCCAGCAGCTGTGACGGTCACCTGCAGGCTTGATGGCCCGTGTCGGTGGCTTCAGTCAGCACAGCCCTGCGGCTGTTCTCCTCAGTGTTTGGCAGCTCAAGAGAGAGGCCAGAGAGGGTTGGGGCAGCAAGGACAGTGCTGATGCAGTGGAGGTCAGGGTCAGGAGGGAATGGTAGAGATGTCTGACGGTCATCTGGGAGGGCCAGGGGCCTGCCAGGATGAGGAGAAGGGAGGTGTGGGCAGGGAGGCAGCTGTGTAGGAGAAGGATGTGCTGCCTGCCTGCCTGCTAGTGCCACTAGATTTATTCTTGTTCTTTCCAGGGCCTCTCTCCTTCCAGCCTTCAGGCAGTATACACCAATGTGGGGCCCTGAGGGAGCACTGGGGGTGCAGAGAGGGAGAATCATGGTCATTTCTCGCCTTCTTCCCCCTTCCTGTGGCATCATTGGCAGTGGCTGTGTTTCCTCCTTGGCTGTGGATCCTGCAGGGAAACCCTTTCCTCCATGATCCCAGCTCCCACTAAGCAGCCACTGCCCCATGGCCCTGACAACCAGACTCTGGTCACACTACCTCCTCCCCATGTTCCTCCAGTCTCACTAGTGGTCCTGGGTTGCTAAAGATGCTAATCTCTCTATAATCTGTGAAGTGATTCCCTGGTTGAAATATCTAGAGTGGTTTCTGTCTTCCTCAGAGGACTTTAACTGATATACTGGAATAGAATCAAAAACAAATATATCTCTCTTGATCTGCTCCCATCTCCTTTTTATACCTTTGCCTCCAAACAAGTGGGGAACAATAATATATAGTTTAAAAGTTATCCAAAGCAGCAAAATAAAAGAATGAGGAAGTAAGTATACAAATATCTTCTGAATGGAGAAAAGATGGGGCATGATGGCCTTGGGTTAACTGGAAGAGCCATCCCAAGCTTCTTTGCCACTTTCCAGAGATGAAAGTGATGTGAACACAGAGCCAGGTTTGAGTACGCCGTCATCTACATGGCCCTCTGCCCTCTGATAGGTTTGGTACCTGAAATTCCTCTATTCCTGATATATATATATATATATTATATTTATATTTTTTTTTTTTTTTTTTTTTTTCTATTTGAGTCCAGTTACTTTTCAGCTCCAGGAGGTTTCTACTGAAATAGAATAAGCAATATAAGAAAGCCACTCTATTAGACCAGGATGGGCTGGCTCTCCAGCTGGAGAGGCTTTAGGGTATAGAACCATAATAGAACTTGGGTTTGAACAGACAGAGAGAAACAGGGGGAGGATTTGTAGGGACAAGCCAGGTGGAGGATGGCCATGAGGACCAATGGACAGAGAGGGCAGGTTTGCTGGGAATAGACAGTGAGCACCTCTACCTGGCTCACACTTTAAGCAATGGAGGGAGAGGAGGTTGGGCAGGTGGGCTGGAACCCGAGGACCTAAACTGCCAGACTGAGGATCTGGACTTGTCCCAGAAGGCAGTGGGAAGCAGAACTCTGCACAGAGCTAGAGCATGTCATAAGTGGCATGTTAGGACAAAGAAAGCCCTAAGTCCAGTGGCATCGTGGAGAACGGATCAAAGGCAAAGGGAAACTAGAGACAGGAAGACTGACGAGGAGGTCGTTGCAATAATCCAGGCATGATGTGATGAGGACCTGGACTAGAATAGTGGCAGGAGACCAGGGAAATAAAGGATGTGAGAGATATTAGGGAGGGACTATTCCACGGGATTAGGCTGGTTGGATAGGAGAGTTCTAGCAGATGGATGAGATTCAAGCAAGGTTGATTTGTTGGAAGTACTTCCAAAATACGCACTTTATTACTTATTCTCAGATATTTATGACTTCTCCAGTGTCATTACCTAACTCACTTACAATCTGAAAACTCATATCCACTTTATCCATCACAGGGGAGTCACTCCTATTCTGTGTTTTCACAAATAGATTAGCTTGACCCTTTAAAAAAGTCTTTTATAACATAACATGTAATTAATTTTTTTAAACCAAGGCTTACAGAATCCCAGAACCCCCAAATCCAGGCTTGATCAAGAATGATTAGAAAAGCTTGGAAGTGGTAATTAAGCATTAACTTAGTTTGCCCAAATGGGGGACAGACTGTACCTCTCCGATGGCCAACTCAGGTCATGTGACAGCTCAAAGCCCAACTGCCTTATCCAGGAATCACTCCAGTGCAGTATAAGTTGCCCCCGTTATGGAGGAGGGTCACGTCCACCAGAAAAGACGACATCCTGTCACTAGAGAAATGGTTTATTGTGAGTTTAATTTGGCAGTAAATAGAGTCCTTTCTAGAATTTTCCTTTGAGGTTCAATAGATAATTCAAGGCATTTAGATTCTAAGTTTGAGTTAAATAGATCATACTGGGTGTATAAATATAAGGATATATTGGGAAATAGACAATATAAATGATAATGGAAGAGAACACTAGTTTGATCCAATCCATGTAAGAACTGGAAATTCTATTGCCTTTGATAAAAGGTTTTCTTCTATGAGCTATATAAGATAAGGATGCTATGATGGTCGCTGTTACTTTTTTCCAGAGAATAATTTCCCCACTAGTAGCTATGACTGTCCTCAAAAGCAAAATTTCTACCTTAAGACTATAAAGTGGTTGAAGACCTACGAGCAGCAGTAAATATTCAGCCCGGCAAGTTTCCTTGAAGCCACTACACTTATTCCCCACAGTAGATGCTGGCCCCACCTCTGTGAAAGCCCCTGGAAGACCCTTTTAATTCACTGACCTAGTTCTCAACAGCCTGCCTCAACCCACTATATTCCCCTCTCCATGTACTACTTCTGAGTGTTCAGGTCATCAACTTCATTCTGTCATTTCTGTCCTTCCTCCCACAGGACTCAATGTACAATATTCCATTCCAGCTTTGAATTTGGGGTCAATGGATGACATTTAGATGCTCTACTCTTGCCATGCTCTCTACTTTCATGAGAATTTTGATTTATTCTATGTTAAAATTAACTAAGTTAATTTTAATCAATCCCTACCCTTGACTTAAATGTACACTTCTGGCAAGGTCCTGGTTTGGGGCAGTTTGTTCATTTAACAAATGTTTAGCAAGCACCTGCTAGTTTCAAGCACAGTGCTAAATGCTGAGAT